CTTCATCCCCTTTCCCTCCTGGTATCGCCACTGTCACCCCTGGTCCTGAGAGGTTCATCTGTCCTAGATTCCCTGCGTTTCTGATTCCCATCTGTCCCGCTGTGCATCATCTGGTCTAAACAGGTCTGCAAGGCAATATTGGGGTCCTGGTAGTTGGGGGGAGGAAGCGTTTAAGAACCAGAGGAAGGTTGTGGGTTTCATTATTGCTATACTGTACCCTAAGTGATTTGTTTGGCTAACTTGTAAGATCTACCTGCTTCATTTCATCTAGCCTGACCATGTTAGCTTCACATTGACTAAATAAAAGTAGATACAGCTTTATTATTCCACTGGAAGACTTCATTTTATATAGCATAGCAATTCTTTTTTTTTTAATCTTTTTTTTTTCGAATCATTTTATTAGGGACTCATACAACTTATCACAATCCATACATACACCAATTGTGTAAAGCACATTTGTACATTCATTGCCCTCATGACAAGTACTTGAACAATAGCTGATTTTATTTACTTATATGATAATATTTATTTTTATACTTATAAAATATGCCACTCAAAATATGTCAAGTAAATATTCATGACAAAAGCAAATGGCAATTAAAAAGACAGGAAAGAAGGAGAACCTTCAAAGTGGATGTCGGAAGAGACTCTTCAATTACTCTTAATCATAAATAACTAAAACAAATGAAGGAAATGATGGAGGAAAAGAGTTGAACAGAAAATTTCAAAGGGAAGCTTGATAAGGCAAAGTAAAATAGTATAATGAAATATGGAAAGACCTAAAGTTGGAAAACCAAAAAAGGGAAAATACATCCATCATATCTTAAACTGTATTAGCGAAAGAAAAAGATCAAGCCTTGAGTTATAATATTGAAATATCCAATGTGCACAATATTGACTGAGGTAAGAAGCATTAAAAGGAGATGGAAAAAGCCACAGTCACTGTATGAAAATAAGAACTATTCCACGGTCCTGAAGGGGAAAATTTAGCTGCACTGGAACCATTAGCCAAAAACAGGACTCCACGTATTGATGGAACACTAACTGAAATGTTTCAACTAGTTTTGGAAGCACTGGAAGCATTCCCTAACTTATCTGTGTCAGGAAATTTGGAAGAGTGCTACTTCTCCACCTGACTAGAAGTGATCTGTATTTATACCCATTCCAAAGACATATCACCAACAGATACACAAGTTATAGAACAGTATAATTGACATAATATGGATTAAATTTTTACTTAACTTTATACAATAATGATTGAAGCAATGCATTGAATGATTGCAGCAATACACTGACAGAGGCTTAGGCCAGAGAACGTGAACAAGGGATATCACTGCTGATGTCAAAAAGATCTTGGATAAAAGCAGAGAATACCTAAAATATGTTTACTTGTGTCATATTGACCATGCAAAGGCAATGGAGTGTGTGTATATAAGAACAATCTATGGATAACCTTGACTGAGAACTCCAGAATACTTCATTGAGCTTAGATGGAAGTTGTACATGAATCAAGGGGCAGTGGCGTGAAGTTCAGGGAATACTGCATGGTTTACAACCAGGAAGGGTGTGTTTCCAGGCTGTAACAGCTCCCCACACTTATTCAATCTGAGTGCTGAGCAAGCAATTAGAGCAGTTGGATTATATGAAGAAGAATTCAGTATTGGGTTTGGAAGAAGGCTTATTAACAACTTTCAATGAAGATGACACAATGTAGCTAGGCACTTGCTGATTCAGATCCAGAACTGCAGCCTTCAGTATAGATTACAATTCAAGTTAAAACCTAACCTCCTTACACCAGACCACTAGGTAAAATAACAGGAAACAAACTTGAAGTTGTCAAGGATTTTGTCTTGCTTGAATCAATAATCAATATTCATGGAAGCATCAGTCAGGAGATCAAATGACATTAGGTAAATCTGCTGAACAGTCTTCTTTAAAACATTGAAAGACATGGATATTATTTTGAGGACTAAGGGGTACATAATGCAAGCATGGTGTTTTCAGTGGCCTTATGTGCATGTAAAAGTTGGATGTTGAATGAGTAAGATAGAAGTAGAATTGATGCATTTGAATTATGGTGATGGTGAGGAATATTGAAATGCACTATAGACTGTAAAAGCATAAACAAATGTCTTTGAATAAGTACATCCAGAATGTTCCTTAGAAGCAAGGATGGTGAGACCTCGTCTCACATCAATTGGACATGATGTCTGGAGAGACCAGTCCCTGGAGAGGAGTATCATCTTTGATAAAGTAGAGGCTCAGTGAAAAAGAGCAATGTCTTTGACAAGATGGATTTACAGAGTGGTTTCAATCGTGGGCTTGAATATAGGAACTCTTTTGAGGATGGTGCAGGACTGTGTAATATTTCACTCTCTTGTACACAGGGTTCCTATGAGCAGGGACTGACTGGATATTCTTAATGTCAACAGCATCATTCAGGACTTTGTCCTTGAAATACATTGTTAATAACTAAAGTCTTAGTAAATATGTTATATTTTAGAAAAATATATAGCTATACATTCCCTAGATGAATATCCAAGGGCCAAGAAAGTGCAAGGTCAAAAAATTATGGTAAAATATATTAACAAGTAGAAGAAATTAGGTAAATGAGTGAAAATGGTTTGGGGCCAAAGAGAATTTGTATATATCTCTCCATTTCAGGTTACATTAGTGACTTGGGAACTAAAAGGATCTAAGGCAGAATGATTATTGAATAAAAGGGAGATTAGATACATGGTTTAGGTAAATGGTTTCTCTAAGGATAGAAAGTCAGACATCATCTTTTTGTGTCATATCAGAAAAGTGTGACAGGGAACTTTGACCTATTTTTATAAATACTTATGAAAAAGATATTTGATTATTGTAATGTACCTTTAATATTGGAACTACATTATACCTTGTTGTTGAAACTAAATAGTTTTTTTTAATTAGTATACAAAGCCTAAAAAATAATATAGGCTATGGTGGTGAATATTCTAAATTATGTTTAAAGGATTTTTAAAATATGAAACCCCTACTTGAACTCACTGAAAACGAGTTCAGACTTTCCAGTGAACCCTTACTTTTACTAAAATTAATAATAAACCATGAAGTAACAGAGGACTTTAAAGACACACAATACATTTTAGATCCATGAATTTGACCGATTTTCAAGGAGAGTCAGAAATGGGCAAAGTTTCTTTTTAAAATACACCATCTAATAAGCATTGTGTGGTATGCCTGCTTATGGAGAGTTCTGTTTAGGCTCTGGTATGTGCAGACTCTGCAGATAATGGAATTCCTTTCATAAAAGTGATGCAACACGTTGAAGGAGCAGCATCACCAGGCAGCAATGTAAGCCGAAACATTTTAATGAGTTTGAAGGCATCTTTATATGTCAAGTTGTGTTGAACGTCACCTAGAATGTCACAAAAACAGAAGGAATGTGTTTTATCACATGACCCGATCAGGGTATATAAGCATCAGTGTACAGGTGTCAACATTCATATTCAGAATCTTGTCTTATACAGCAAGCCACTCATCCTTCCTGACACCATGAGCTACTACGGCAGCTACTACGGAGGCCTGGGCTACGGCCTGGGAGGCTTCGGTGGTCTGGGATACGGCTGTGGCCATGGCAGCTTCAACAGACTGGGCTATGGCTGTGGCTCCAGAGGCTACGGACACGGCCCCTTCTTCGGAGGCTACAGATACGGCCCCTTCTTCGGAGGCTACGGACATGGCTGCTTCCGCCCATCTTGCTCCAAAGGCTTTGGATTCTCTGGCTTCTACTGAACTACTAGCCTGATAATCTAGCATATGAAACTCTAAGGGGACTTTTCAGCTCTGTTCTCCATTACAGAACAATCAAGACCAGGCAGAAACTATTTCTACATAAGCACTCAGGATCGCAAAATTTCAGAAGATTCTTTAATTAACATACATTTCTGTCATGTTCAGAAATTTCTCTGTATTTTGCCTTTATAATTGATGATATTATATGATGACCTCCTAATAAAACATCCTAATTTTAAAATTTAATGTACTTTTGTTTGTTTGTTTGTGAAGCTTAAGTCATGTGTATGTGATGATGGTTGTTCTTTACGCAGTGATCAATGAAGGAAGCTTCTGAGTTAAATATCTACCTTGCACATCACAAAAGTACAGATGGTTACAAAGAACAGATATATTCAAATAATAATTATCCTACATTGAAATTAAAAAGTATTCTGAAATAGTTATTGCTTTTATACTTTCATTATCATGCTTTTGCTAATTAATATTCAGATTGAAGTCAACAACAAAAAGCCATATTAGCTTGATATATC